AATCCAACACCCAAAAGCATGGTTTTTACTGAATCCACACCCCTTTCACACTATTCAAAGAGTTGAAAAACTCCTAAATCCCAACCACAGTTAAGTTAGGACTGTCTATATTTATTCTCTCTCTGGTGCTCTTTACTGATCCTCTGTCCTTCTTTCCCAGAGGGACACAAATGTCATTACAAGCTTTCAGTCACGTTTCTCTACAAAGCTCAAGGTTACTTTCTCATTCCTTCCTCGTCCTACCTGACGAAACTACAGCAAAGTTTGGCTGTAGGTAAGGAGAGAGGAACAAGTAGGGCAAAGAGTTCCAACAGTCATCACCCAAGAAAACTCCTCTGCCCTTAGAATGAGTGAAAAATATTCCAATTTCATCAAATTAAAATGTGTTCAGCTGAGTGATGGTGCACACTTGTAATCCCAGCTATCAGGAGGCCGGAAAGGGAAAATCTTCAAATTTGAGGCTAGGCCAAGCAAAAAAAACCTGAGACCCTATCTCAAAACAAAACACAAACAAAAAGCTGGGTGTGGCTCAAGTGAAGAACACTTACCTAACTAACAACAAGGCCCTGAGTTCAGTCCCGCAATATTGGCAAAAAAAAAAAGGAAAGAAAAGAAAAAGATAAGTATTTTTCAAAAAGAGGAAAGATAAATCTGAAAGAGACTTTCAAAAGGTTATGAAAAAACTCCATTTGTTCCACACTACCTAAGTGACCAACTAATGTACAGAGCAATGGCTTGGAAAACAGAAACTGCTCACCATACTCAATCCACATGTAAGCACTTGGAAATAGGGCCACAATATTGCTGTTTGATGTTAGTGTAATAAAGTTTTAAAATTTTAAAAGAGCAAGCTTTTGTAAAGCTTGTAGTCATGCCTATAATCTTCAGCTGAGATCAGAAGGATTTATAGTTGGAGGGCCAGCCTTGGCAAACAGATTGTAAGACCCCCCCCATCTCCAAAAATAAGCAGAGTCAAAATGGAACGGAGTGTGGCTCAAGTGGTAGAGCCAACCTGCTTTGCAAGTATAATCCTGAGTTTAAACCCCAGTATCACCAAAAAAAAAAAAAAAATTTTTTTAAAGAGTGAAATGAAAATGATTTCCCACTATGTATTCGTTTATCATTAGACTACTTTTCAAAGAAGAAATGGCCATTTAAAAATAAAAGAAATTTAGGTCCTCATAGGTATTAAGTATATGAAAATTGTTATCTTCTTTTTTTCCTTTAAGCTATTTTTGGTATAGAAAACGTTCAAGTAAGATCTGTAAGAGTGAGAAGAACAGGCTTCCCCTTCCTCTCATTTTACCGGGCCTTGCTTCATTTTCCTTACAGCTTATTCTGCACCTGGAAACATTCAAGCTTTTGTCATTACCATTAGCTATGTACATTACACACACAACCCAAGCATATGCTATTTTCTCGCTTTCAGTGAGAGTTCAGTCATCAACAAATCAAAATTCAGTTTGAAGATAGTAAAAAATTGCACTTTTTATAAAAGATGAACCATAAGAACAGAAGAAAGTTAAAAAAAAAAAAACGATCTTTAGGCAAAGGAGAAAAAAGAGAAAGACAAAAAAAAGTGTTCAGGCAATGAGAGAATTGACAAGCTCAAAAGATGGAGAAAAAGGTTAGGAAGCAGGAGCCTCCTGTGGCCCACAAGGACTCTTCCACGCATTCCACTGTCAGTGTCCCACTACACCCACCGTTGAAGAGTTAGACCTGAGTCCAAGTCAAAGCCTGAAAAGATGACTGACATTGGGCCTCATGCTGCGAAATAGAAAGTTTCACTTGTTTTCCGCAGCCAGACTGGGGTTGCTTGGGTGTTTACCCAAGAGTATCAAGAACATGGCTAGGTGGACTCAGGGGAGAACGCCTGCTAATGTCACAAAGACTCTGGGTTTGGGTACCAGCTCTAGTGGAAAAGGGTTGTTGTTATCAGTTGTCAAAAAGACAGAACTGCAAACTAATAAAGGATGTTTTTAAAGTACATTAACCCTGTTCTGGCCACAAGGCATCACAAAGCAATTTACTTTAAAATTCTTCTGCCATTCCAAGGCACACACGTAGTACATACCTACTTAGCAAATGGTTAATAAGCTTGAAAGAAATCACAAAGAATAATAATTTAAACTGAGAGACAAATTCGCTTGTGAGTAGAAAAAAAACAATAGCTGCCAGGCATGGTGGACATGCCTGTAATCTCCTGCCACTCCAAAGCATGGAGGAAGGAGACTCTCTTAGTTCAGCAACCTGGGCTACATGGTGAGGACCCTGTCTTGAAAAAAAAAAAGAAGAAAAAAAATAACAATATTATTGTTACTATTTTCTTCCTGATCATTTGTGAGAAGTCTTGCAATAATATAAATAAAATATTTTTCAAATGCGCTGCTTTTTAAAGGAATAATCTTAAAAATAATTAAATAGAGAGGAATTCAGTTTTGTATTATTTCCACCATATAATTTGAATAAAGGAAAAAATAATAAAATTTTCCTTTTTTAAGACTTTATGAAATCAAGTAGATGTTTGGGTTTTCTGTTTTTTGGTAGGACTGGAGTTGAACTTCAGGGCTTTGTGCTTGCAAAGCAGGCACTCTCAGGCTTGAGTCACACCACCAGTCCATTTGTTCTGGTTATTCTTGGAGATAGGGTTTTGGGAACTATTTGGCCTGGACTGGACTTGAACCCTCCCAGCGGAGTCATTGGCACCCTCAGTTAAACTACAGGATTTTTTTGTGTTTGTTTCCCTTTGTTGAAGTTTGGTTATCATCTGTGTTTTTAAGGTTTTACGCATCTACTAAGGGAAGTAGGGTAATTTGGCACTTTCTGTTTGAACGTACCCTTGGTCACTGCCATTCTGCTTCTAATGCTTTAGGAGCTGGGGAATCTTTCTTGGAGGTTCAATGTGCTGCCTTTCGTTGGGCAGAGATTGCCTGTGAAAGAGAACAATGCCCCTTTGTTCTACTGGGATTCAGTTCCCAGTAAGCAATGAGGTTACGCAGGCAAAGGCTTGAGGGCGATCTTATGAATTACAATTTACAAAATCACTTTATATCTAATATATACTAGTATTTTCACTCTTTTGCTGTACTAGGGAATTTGAACTCAGGGCTTTCACACTTGTTAGGCAGGTGCTCTACCACATAAATCACTCCACCAACCCTTTTTTGGTTGGGTATTTTTTGAAACAGGGTCTCTCAAACTATTTGCCCAGGTTGGCTTCAAACCACAATCCTCCTGATCTCTGCCTCCTGAGTTGCTAGGATTACAGGCGTGAGCCTGGTACCTGGCTTAAACTACTGTTTTTTAATCTGCTTTTTTTTTTTTTTCTTTTAGGAAAGCCCAGGCCAGTGTGTGGCTCAGTGGTAAAGTACATGCTTAGATGTGCAAGGTTTGGTTCCCACATCACTGCAAAAATAAAAAATAACACCAAAAGGCTGCAAATTCACTTAACCTAGTCTGTTAGGGCAGAAATGCTTTTAGTCTTGTTCTGAAGATCCACTTTCCAACTGCCTTTCTACATGTTAGTGAATTACATTAAAATAAGAACTACTTATCTGATACAATGAATTTTTAAAGGAGGTACCAGTACATAAATCCAACTTTTTTTTGCCCAGACTGACCTCAAACTGCAATCCTCCCAGTCTCAGTCTCCCAAATAGTGAGCCACCAGCACCCAGCTGGTACTCTAATATCTTGATTTGGGTAATGCTTATATAGGTAAAATTCAATTAAACTAAACCATTAAAAATTTGTGCATTTTATTGAGTGCAAATTACATTTAAAGTTTTTAACTTTGGATAAATGATTAGGAATCTAATTTCCAGCTGTCATGGTGCTCATGCCTGTAATCCCAGCTACTCAGGAGGCAAGGGAGACAAGAGGATCACGAATTCAAGGCCAGCCCAAGCAATGTTAGCAAGACCCTATCGGAAGGAAGGAAAAAAGGAATCACTTACTTTCCAAAATCAATAAGTATACTAATTTGGCACAGAAAATTCAACACTGTGTCTAGATTTCCTTTACGTAATAAAATATAGATACATTGATTTAATTCAGAGCAAATCAACCAGACAAACCATTCCATCACTCTGCCACTTACCACAGTGCTGTTTGAACCAAACTGGATTTAGGTTCAGGGGTGGGCTGAGATTGAGGATATGAGCAATTTTACTCTTTTTTAAGAAGGGAATACATGCTTTAGATCTGGCAAGTGAAAGAAAACCACAGGTCAAGTCAATGCCTTTCTAACAACACTGCTCTACTTTTTTGAAGTTTGTCAGACAGCTCTGGGTTCAAATCCTGATTCTGTCCCATCATTGTACAACCTTGGGCAAATTGTATAGTAGTCTAGTTCTCAGTTGTCTCTACTACACATGTGGGTAATTAATATCCACTACTATCTAGGATTGACCAAAGGATTAAAATGAGACAAGATACTTCAGACAGCGCATATACTGAACATGAAATACACAACTGCTATGGTTAGTGTTAGATGTGCTGAAATTATTTCAGCTCAGTAGGCATAAACTGATACTAGGACCGTAATTTACTAATATAACTCTCAGTACAATCCCCAAATTTAATTTGTACCAATGCAAAATACAATTTGCCCTTGGGAACAAATATATAACTTTTTTAAACTTCTCATAAAATGCATAATTTATTTTATAAAAATTCATTTTAACATTTTTAAAATTTGTAAGTATTAAGCTCCAATATCTAATAGCAAAGAAAACCATGTGACAGCTTAATTATTTCATCTTTATTTTATATTCAAGGATATCTAGGAGTATGGTTAATCCATTCTTCTTTCAAGTCAATTTTTTAACTTCCAAATGTACAATATTCATTATCAACTCCAACATGTTTTCAAGCTTAGAAACCAATACGACCAATACCACAAATGGGGTTTTTACATATACTTTGAATTTTCATACATTGTATTTTCTTCCCAAAGGTGCCCCACTTTTATGGGGATGAAGTGAGAGGGAACAAACAATATTACAGCTCATTTTCATTAAAATAGTGAAACTGCACCTCAAAAATACCAATAGGAAACAAAAGTCTATTCCAGACATGAGACTGTACTTTTACTCAAGAAAAGCGCTAATTTCACTTACACTATGAACACGAGCTTCCCTGGATTACCAGCGAGGGCCTCTCCATCTGCACTTTGCTAGCCTGGCCTCCAATATCCCTAATCCCCTCCGAGTGCACTTCTCACAGCAGCAATGTGTTGAAAACTCTTACCACTTAGATCCTAATACCTCAGCTACTGAGCAGAGCGACTAATGTGGTTCATGTCCACTTATAATGTAACTACGTGGGTTCTCTGTGCAAGTCCTGTGGTGCCCCCGCCTTGTCTGTGACTCACGTGAGGTAGGTGCCCCTGGTGTTGACGTTCATCATCAAGTCCACTCTCTTGGTAGGGGTTTCCAATGTGTTGGTCAAGCTAATAGCACTGGCATTATTCACCAAAATGTCAATTCCTGTTTCCAAAGTAGTCAATTTCATTTTAATACAAGTGAGACTTCATAATGCACAGAAACAGAAGCATTCACTCTATATCACTGAAGCCTAAATTGACTCACAAACATGTCTTCCTTTTAGATAATGTAATTGACCAATGTACCAATGTGAAACTCAGTAGTTTGTTCAAAACAACACCCACAGGATTTTTATGGCTATACAATCAGGAGCCAGGGCTCCCTGGAAAACTGCAGGAGGCTTAGGCCTTAGGGGGTTGCAGCTACTCGTTCTCTTACCTCCTGATCTTCTCTCCCTGCCTCCATGAACCTTAGGTCAAATTCCTCTCTAGCATGTCTCCAGGGCCCATGCTCCCTCCAAACACACCAGTCTTCCCCTTGCCCCACCAAGCCCTTTCTTAAATGGAAAGGGTTCTTAGTCTTAGGAACTGAAAAAAGAGAAAGACCTTGAGTTTCAACTCCAGACAAATGATCAAAATGCACTGATTTTGTTTTAGTGACTAATATACACACACAAAAAAATCATAACAACCATAATTTCTTTCTTTCTTTTCTTTTTTTTTTTTCCGCAGTACTGGGGGTTAAACTCAGGGCCCGGCAGGCAGGTACTCTACTACTCAAAACACTCCTCTGGCCTTTTTGCATTGCTTATTTTTAAAGACAGGGTCTCGATGGCTTGCCAATGGATCACGCCTGTAATCCTAGATATTCAGGAGGCAGAGATCAGGAGGATCACAGTTCAAAGCCAGTTGGGCAAATAGTTCTCAAGAACTTATCTCAAAAAAGCCCACCACAAAAAAAAAGGTTGGTGGAGTGGCTCAAGCTGTAGGCCCTGAGTCAAACCCCAGTACCACACACACACACAAAAAGGTAGGGTCTCACTTCATGCTTAGGCCATCCTAGACTGTGATCCTCCTATCTGTGCTTTCCTGTGCACACCACCATGCCCACTCATTGATTGAGATGGGGTCTCATGACCTTTGAGGTATGGGTTGGCCTCAAACCACATCCTCCCAATCTCCACCTCCGAAGTAGCTAGGATTACTGACTTCAGCACTGTGCCCAGCTGAAAACTATAATTTGTGTATTCTCTATCCACATAATATGTCTTGCTTATAACTATATGCTTAGTGAAATTCAATGAAAATTATAAAATACAAAACTATATCAAACAACTCCCTTTGTTTCTGCATGATCTTCGTGATTCTTTTTAAAGGGCATTTTGTGATGCTGCAAAACAGAATGAATGAACTTAATGTCACTGAATTGTGCATTTAAAATGGCTTGGAGGGTAAATTTTATGTTATATGTATTTTTACCACAATTTTTTAATTTTATTTATTTATTTGCAGTACTGGAGTTTGAACTCGGCTTCACACTTGCTAGGTGCTCTACCACTTGAGCCACTCCGCCAGCCCTGTTTTGTGTTGGGTATTTTCCAGATAGCGTCTCTCTAACTATTTGCCTGGGCTAGCTTCAAACTTTGATCCTCCTAACCTCTGCCTACTCAGCAGCTAAGATTACAGGTGTGAGCCACCAGTGGCTACTCAATTTTTTTTAATTAAAAAAAGAAATGAGAAAAATGGAGATACATTTAATGTTTCATCAAATAGAAATATCACAGTTTCTACTTCCAGAGTTAAACAGTTTCAAGGAATATCTGTTATCCTAAGAATATTTTCATTCCCCTCTCTCAAAATATGTGTGTAATGATTTAAGCAAGGTTATTAAACTCGCTAGAATACTTTAGTCATAAGCATCCTGTCTTCCTTGACAGGAATTTACAATGTTTTGATCACATCTTCACTTGCTAATTTCCATGTCCTTCAGTAGAGTCTGTGTTGCTAACGTTTCCTTAAAATGTGTTATTAGACTAACTCTAGATTCAGCTATATTTCATTTTATACCTTCATTATAACAAAATTTAAACTTTAGTAAATCGCCTATATATTTGAGATAACTACTGCTTTCACTAGTCAAGAGGACATAGGAAAAGAATTTTTAATCCAGGACACAGTTCTCAATACACAAACTCATCAGTAAGAGATAATCGCTACCCTACACAAGGCACTCTGCTAGGGCAGAAGAGACAAGGGAGACAATACCAAGTACAGGAGAAGCCAGGAGGGAGCAAAGCAAAGGGATGCTGGATGGATGGGTGTATATAAAACCTGTGCAGAATTACCCTTGCAAGGAAAGGAAGTCAGCAAAGACTGTTCCAATCAATGACAAATCAGACTTTACTGACTTCATCTCTCTCACAAGGGATAACAAAGGACAAGTATGTTAGCCAGGTAAACATCTGGGGCTGAAAGCAAAGAAACCAGATGCAGAGTGACAATATGCTTTTTTGGCACATGACATATCACTTAGCCATGGCAGAGAAAAGAAAAAGCATCCAATTTAAGAGGGAGGTTAAAATGTCGTTCTGAGTAATGTGATAGAATCTCAGGTCATCCCATTTCATCCTTCACAGGATCTGAACCATCCCTCTGTGCAGTATATCCACTCTGTATGCACTACCCTCCCATTAGTGACTTAGTAGCTGTCTGGATTATCAGATCAACTGCTCTGTATCACAGTGCTTGTGTACAAGTAATCCTTATTTTATTTAATAAGTCCCTAAAATACAAAGTAGTGGTGCTGGCATTTCAGATATGCCACAAAGAAGACGTAAAGTACTTCCTTTAAGTGATAAGGTGAAAGTTCTGCACTTAAAAGAAATACCATTATGCTGAGGTTGCTAAGATCTACAATAAGGACAAATCTTCCATCAGTGAAACTGTGAAGAAGAAAATAAATTTGGGCTACCAGTTTGCTCAGGTGAGTTTTGCACTTTCAAACTGCACGTTGCAAGAGGAAGGAAGAGACTATAGTCACATAACTTTCAATACAGTATATTATTATATCATTGTTCTATTTTACTACTTATTGTTGTTGATCTCTCAACATGCCTAATTTGTAACCTGAACTTTATCACAGGCACATATGAATAGGAAAAAACCTAGTGTAAATCCACACTTTCAGCCATCCACCTGTATTTTATCAATGTGCAAGGATTACTCCAGAATTAAGGCCCTACCTCCAAATTTCTCAACTGCTTTTTCCACTGCATTGTTGATCTGCTGCTCATCTCTCACATCAACGATGCATGGCAAGGCCTTTCCTCCAGCTGCTTCGACTGCAAAGAGAAAGATTTCACCTTCCATTCAGATACAACGGTCAAAAAGACAAAAGGGCCTGAGGTTCACAAGATCAAGATAAATAGGTTTTGAAACCACTAGTAACTCCATCACTGACTAACCACACTCAGCTTTCAGAACAGACAGGCCAACTCTACTCAAAACCAAAAAAGCTGGGTACTTTCAAAAAGATCTCTTAAAGATAAAAAAAAAAAAAAGAAAGAAAGAAAAAGAAGGTAATTTAAGAAACAAAGGGCTGAAGGTATGGCTCAAGCAATAGAGCACCTGCTTTGCAAGCTTGAAAACCCTGAGTTCAAACCCCAGTCCCATCCAAAAACAAAACCTTTCTATTATGGAAAATTTCAAAAACTACAAAAAATACAAAGAATAATTTAAAAACAATCATTGATCCATCACTTAAGTGATTATTACTGTTTTGCCAGTTTATCTTTCCACTTGCTTTTTTTTGTGTGTGTGTATATGTGTGGTACTGGGGTTTGAACTCAGAACTTCACTCTTGCAAGGTAGGCACTCTACCACTTGAGCAATACGTCCAGCCCTTTGTTTATATTTTAAAATAATTCCCAGCATCATTTTATTCATAAGCATTTCATGTGTTAACACGACTAACACATGAAATCACCAGGCATGGTGACACATGCATGTAATCTACACACTTAGGAGGCTGGGGCAGGAGGATCATAAGTTTGAAGCCAGAACCTGTCATTTTAAGAAGGGGAGTGGGAAAAGAAGAAGAAAGTGGAGGGGATGAACAAAATGGGGGGCACAATAGATGTATACATGGACATATACAAAGGTCACAATAAACCCCCTGTATAACTATCATATACAATAAAAACATTTTAAAGAAAGAAAAAAACAAATTTGATGCCAAGCTGGACTACATAGCTAGACCTATCTCAAAGAAAAAAAAAAAGAAAGGAAATCTTTCTTTTTTTTTTTTTTTTTCCCAGTGGTGGTCCTGGGGTTTGAACTTAGGGCCTTGCACTTCCTAGGCAAATGCTCTACCATTTGAACCATACCTCCAGCCTTTTCAATTTTATTCTCAAATAGGGTTGGCCTTGGACTGATCCTCCTATTAGCTGGTATGACACCATGCCCAGCTTATTTATTGAGATGGGGGTCCTGTAACATTTTGCCGAGGCTGGCTTCAAACTGTCATCCTCCCAATCTCTTCCTTTCGAATAGCTGGGATTATAAGCATGAGCAACCACATTCAACTCTAAGATGAAATGTTTAAAGCCTTCCTCGTGGCACAGTGCCTTGAACATGAGCACATGATAACTATTCATCAACCTAAAATATTAAAATCATGACTTACAAAGTGCACAGAGAGTAAATAACACAGGAGCATTTTCAAAGTGTTCACACACACACACACACACACACACACACACACACACACACCTTCAAATTGTCTCCTCTCCACTTCATCACACCCTCCTTTCAATGACCACTACCCTCCTAAAACATGAGTTTTTCTTTTTTTCGCGTGCTAGGGATGGAGTCCAGGGCCTTGTGCATGCCAGGCAAGGGCTCTATCCCTGAGCCACGCCCCCAGCTCTGAGACATTATTTTTAACTAGGATCTCTACATAACTTGAAAGTGCTAAAGAAGAAAAATGGTCAGAACTCCTGCTCTCAGGTGATACAACGAGTACTTCTTCAAACAGACACAATTATTTTAGGGTGGCTTTCAAATAGCTTACACTAAACAGCTATATAGCAAATTATGTATTGAAACCACTGTGAGGACATTTCTTGAAAGGGTGAGTGCCACACTTACTTTCTTCAGCAGCAGTGTAAATTGTGCCTGGAAGTTTGGGGTGTGACTGGGTGGTCTTTGCAGCAATGACAATGTTCGCTCCATCCTTTGCTGCTTTCAGTGCAATAGCTTTGCCAATGCCACGGCTTGCACCTGTGATGAAGACTGTACATCCTGCTAGCTTCCTACAACAGAACAGATAGGACGTGTTTAGAAATACAACATTTTTTAATTTATTAACCACTATCAGGAGCTCATGCACATTTTCATAATATACATGTTCCTTGCTCTGTGAGATTTTCTTACAGAAAAAACCCTGCCCTGCCCATGTGATTGACAGTTAATAACTCCACCATACCCCTGCTGCACAATGACTTATAAACTATTTATGACAACTGCAATTTGCCAGTATGCTGTGATCTGGCAAACAAAATCTGTTCAGATACAAAGTGAATCTGAAGAACTGATGAATGAATTAGGAGATACTACGTACATGTTCTTTTTCCCCATAGAAAATGTACTACACACCTGCAAACCTACTATTCAGGAGATGGAGTAGGAGGATCATAAGTTTGAGGCCAGCCTGCTCAAAATTATTAATATCCTATCTCAAAAACAAAATAAAACAAAAGAACTGTGGATATAGCTCAAGTGGTACAGTGCTTGCCTAGTATACACAAGGCCCTGGATTCAACTCCCAGCCCAAGGGGTAAGAAGGTATTTTTGGGGGGAGAACAATACTGGGGTTTGAACTCAGGGCCTCATCTGCTAAGGAAATGGTCTAACAACAATTGAGCCATAGCTCCAGTCTTTTGCTTTAGTTATTTTTGGGACAGGGTCTTGCATTTACGCCCAGGCCAGCCTGGATGGAGATCTTCCTATTTATGCTTCCCAAGTAGCTGGGATGACAAGCCCACACCACCACACCCAGCTGGTGATTGGGTTGGGGTGTCATGAACTTGTTGCCCAGGCTGCCCAATCTCCAATTCCTTGAATAGTTGGGATTACTGGTGTGACCCATCATGCCTGATCTTTTTGTTTTGTTTTGTTTTTTCTGTTCTTTTGTTTGTTTTTTTGTGAGGCAGGGTTTTGCTATATAGCCTAGGCTGGCCTTGAACTCATAATCTTCCTGCCTCAGCCTCCCAAGTGCTGATATTACAGATGTGCACCACTGTACCCAGCTCCTTATCTTTGAGTGGTGGAATTATGTATAAATTTTGTCATGTTCTTTAATACTTTTTTCTATAATGAATACATAACACTTAATAAAGAAATAACCTAAAAAGACATAGTTGTCCAATGGATGTTCACAGCAGCTGGAGTGGAAACAACTCAAACTCCCTCAGCTAATGAATGGATAAGCACAGTGTGGTACATCTGTACAATGAATACTGTGCGGCAACAAAAAGGACTAAAACACTAAAAATGGGCAGATTCCAAGATGGCGGCTAGAGGTAGGAAGCAGAAAGCGAGCCTCCTATAGTGAAATCTTGGAGAGACGCTGGAGACACACTTTGCAGGCATAATCACCGAGAAAAGGCATAACTTTGACCCCTCCACACCTCCAGCCGGCGCAGAGAATCTCCACTTCACGTTAAACGGAGAACCGAGGAGGCCCCCGGGGCCGCCAGGGGCCGGCGCCCATACGGCTTGGGAAGACGCGGACCAGGTGAGCTTCGCGGTACCGCGGTTCCCCCACAGACAAGCCTGGGCCAGAGCACATAGCCCCCTGGACAGACTGACCTCCACCCGGGAAAAAAAGAGAAACTGAGTACTAAGCAATAAGAACAGTTAAGACACGCTGGAAAGAGGGTGGGGCGCCCTGAGCGCTGAAGATTGGGGGAAGGGAACCTTCCCGGGACTGTAAATAAACGAGCCGGGTGGCCGGAGAGGCTCTGGCGGGAGCGGGGCGCGCCAGCAACCAGGAGCGGGACGCTTGTGAGAGGAGGGAAGACCCACTTCCCACGTGAACTGTAAATATAACACGCAGGCCTGACAACGCGGGCAGTGTCGCCTTTCCCAGTGCTTGGAAAGGGAAAGCCTGTAGCAGAGGCTCCCGCACAGGAGAACTCTGAGCAAACAAAGCCTGTGGGACCAGGTGAGTGCTAAGCTCACCCCAGAGATCTGCATAAATAACACCGCCAGCTACAGGCGGAGAGCAGCAGGCAGGCGAGCCACAGTTGCAGATACCACTCTCAGAACTGCCTCCAGACGCTTTTTTTTCTTTTCTCCCTACCTTTGATGAGAGAACAACCGAATTACACCTGCAAGCCGAAAAACTTACTGAAACTGTATTGCATTTGAACTGGGGACACTTGGTGGGGCTTTTTTTTTTTTTTCTTCTGTGTGTGTGTGAGTGTAGTTTTGTTCTACTTTATGCATCCCCTTTGATGAGACAACTACAGAACAACATCTGAGGCACCAACTCCAGGACTGGAGATTGAGACGGACATCCAAATTATTAAGACTGAAATTGCATTGCATATAAACTTGGAAGTTTTTTGTTTTTTTTTTTTTTTTAATTTCTATTTTCCATTTTATTTTAATTCATTTTTATAATAGATATTACTTTCATATACTTATTTTTTATTTTTTTTATCTTTGATTTTCAATCCTCTCTCTGTCCCTCTAATGTCTGTTCAGCTTACTGTCAATTAGTACACTAACACTCCCTGTTTATACCTTTGAAACTCTCTTGTCTGATACCTTGTTCTGCTTTCTCCCTCTTGTCTGTATATTTGTTTTCCCCTTTTCTTTAACTTCTTGCTTTCCATCTCAGCTCACTCTTCCATTCTCAATATTACCATTGTTATTATTACAAGCTAGAAAATACTTAATTCCACACAGTACAGGGACAGTAACAACACCAAAGACAATGACGGGAAGACAGAAAAAACAGGAAACCAGTTTCCCCACAGCAAAAAATTAGTACAGGAACCAGAGGGGAATGAAGAGAACAGAAACTCAGATCCAGACTCCAACAAAATGAAGATAAACTATGCCAAAGGACCCAATGAAGCCCACAAGAATAATTTAAAAGAAGACATACTACAAGTACTCAATGAGAATTTTATAGAGATGATACTGGATAGGGTCAACCAAAATGTACAGGAGACACTCAAGAAATTCCAAGACAATAAAAATAGAGAATTTGAAAAAGCAAAAGAAGAAATAAAGGAAACCATAGAAGCACTGTATAAACACCAAAGTGAAAGAGAGAACACAATGAATAAATGGATAAATGAACTCAGGACAAAAATAGACAACATAAAGAAGAAAACAGCCAGGATATGGAAAACCTCAGAAAAAAGAACGAAACAGAACTGCAAAACAAAACGGAAGGCCAATCCAGCAGAATAGAACAAACAGAAGACAGAATCTCAGAACTTGAAGATGAAATGGTAATTAAAGGAAAAACTGAAGAACTATTAATTAAACAACTCAAGACCTGTGAAAAGAAAATGCAAGAACTCACTGACTCCATCAAAAGACCAAACTTGAGAATCATGGGCATCGAAGAAGGAGAAGAGGTGCAAGCGAAGGGAATGCGTAATATATTCAACAAAATAATAATGGAAAATTTCCCAAATCTAGAGAAAGATATTCCCATAAATGCAAGAGGCCTCCAGGACACCAAACAGACCAGATCAAAATAGAACTACTCCACGACATATCATCATTAAAACAACAAGTTCAGAAACTAAGGAAAGAATATTGAAGGCTGTAAGAGAGAAAAAACAAGTAACATACAAAGGTAAACCCATCAAAATCACAGCAGACTTCTCAACAGAAACATTAAAAGCAAGAAGAGCGTGGGGTGAGATCTTCCGGGCACTGAATGAAAATAACTTCAACCCCAGGATACTCTACCCAGCAAAGCTATCATTCAAAATAGATGGAGCAATAAAAGTCTTCCATGATAAGCAGAAACTAAAACAATATGTGACCACAAAGCCACCATTACAAAAGATTCTGCAAGGGATCCTGCACACAGAAAGTGACACCCAACTTAACCATGAAAAGGCAGGCAGCACCAAACCACAGGATAAAAAAAGCAAGACAGTAGAGAGTAACATCAAGTTAGGTACACACAATCAAACCTTCAAATAACTAAGACAACTAAATGGCAGGAATCACCACATACCTATCAGTACTAACACTTAATGTTAATGGACTTAATTCACCCATCAAAAGACACCGTTTGACAAAATGGATTAAAAAAGAAGATCCAACAATTTGTTGCTTACAGGAGACTCATCTCACCGACAGAAATAAGCATATGCTTAGGATGAAAGGCTGGAAGAAGATTTACCAAGCCAATGGCCCCCGAAAACAAGCAGGAGTAGCAATACTTATCTCTGACAAAGTAGACTTCAAACCTACATTGATCAAACGAGATAAAGAAGGACATTCCATACTAATAAAAGGGGAAATAGACCAAAAGGAAATAATAATCATCAATCTGTACGCACCCAATGTCAACGCACCCAATTTCATCAAACATACCCTGAAAGACCTAAAAGCATATATAAACGCCAACACAGTGGTTGTGGGAGACTTTAACACTCCATTATCATCAATAGATAGGTCATCCAAACAAAAACTCAATAAAGAAATCCAAGATCTAAAATATGCAATAGATCAAGTGGACCTAGTAGATGTCTACAGAACATTTCATCCAACCTCTACACAATATACATTCTTCTCAGCAGCCCATGGAACCTTCTCCAAAATAGATCATATCCTAGGGCACAAAGCAAGCCTCAGCAAATATAAGAAAATAGAAATAATACCATGCATACTATCTGACCACAATGCAGTAAAAGTAGAACTCAACAACAAAAGTAAAGACAAAAAACATGCAAACAGCTGGAAACTAAATAACTCATTACTTAATGAAGAATGGATCATCGATGCAATAAAAGAGGAAATTAAAAAGTTCCTGGAAGTCAATGAAAATGAAAACACAACCTACCGGAACCTATGGGACACAGCTAAGGCAGTCTTGAGAGGAAAGTTTATAGCCATGAGTGCATATATTAAAAAGATTGAAAGATCCCAAATCAATGACCTAATGATACATCTCAAACTCCTAGAAAAACAAGAACAAGCAAATCCCAAAACAAATAGAAGGAGAGAAATAATAAAAATAAGAGCTGAAATCAACGAAATAGAAACCAAAAAA